ATATATGGATTTACGTGGCATAAAGAAGCTGGTAAAGCAGGAATTAGAACAAAGAGTCCAGAATTTGAAAAGGAGAAAGAAAACCACTTAAATTTTAGAACCAAGGAAGAGAAAGGAAGCTAACTTGATTTCTGTGTTCTGCAATAAGCAAACCTTCTGCATAAATAGTGTTCTTTTTGGCCTGCAATAAATCAATTTATCTATTCATAGTCTTCCCTTAACTAGTTCATGTGAGACTGAATTTGTGGAATGAAAGGGTTACTCTCATGCCTCTGTGAAGTCTGACAAATGGGTTTAGTTAACATATATTCTAAATAGGTTTTCGGTCTAAAAATATTCTGACAGTCATTTCTATAACTTTGCATATCACCATAGAACAGTATTTCTCAACCTCAGCAACTTTAAGACATGTGGACTTCAGTTCCCAGAATTGAATGCTGGCTGGAGAGATCTGGGAGTTGAAGTCCATATATTTTAAAACTGCTGAGGTTGAGAAACACTGTTCTAGAATTGCACAAAGGGGCTAACCCTTACAGAATATTTATCATGAGCAACATAGTATGAAATTCCTCTCTCCCTTCCTTGCTGTAATTATAAATAGGAGAAAGATTATTTGGTTGTTGTTTTTCCTGTTTCTGTTCTTGCAGCATTCTGTCATCTTAGAATAATCTTTTGGAAGGCTCCTAAAAAGAAGACCAAAATGACCAAAACTGAAGAACTGCCAGATAGCCATACTTCTGAAGAGTTTTATGATAAATATGAACCTAAGGAAATTTTAGGAAGGTAAATACTTGAAAGTTGGTGCTATCATAATAGGTAATTTGCTATGCGTCCCTCAAAACAAAAAATGCATTTATTCCTTTAACCAACATTTTAGGAAGCAATGTCAGTTTCAATACAATCAATTCAGAATATAGCAAATTAATCTGGATATATTTCAAATAATTTAGTTACAAGAATAGATAACTGAAAATAATTAAATTTGAAACTGCAGTTCCCTGAAAATGGACTGTAGGTATAGTCAAAGCATTTGTAAATATTGGAGAAAATTACTGTATTTTAAACTTTTCATAAACATGGCAGCGGATGTAGCTGGATATAGTTTTTCCTATACTCCTATTCTAGAGTATGATGGCTACCATTGAACAGAAAATCTGAAAATAGTTTGCCTACAATAGTTTGGTACCTTCCAGATGTGGCAGATAATAATTCCTATAATCTAGATGTTATTTGCTTTTGAGCAGCCTATACCTTACACATGAAGTTGGCAGTCTCCCTGACTGTTCCCTGATACTGGACTCAAAGGTAAACTGCCACTGAACAAGGAGGTTCTACCCATCGCTCAAGGCCTAATGCTGTTGGTATTTTTTCATCCTTTGCTCCACTTTTAAATCAATCTAATATAATGACCATTGCATTTTGTGCCTGTAAATTTCATTAAGTTTTTTTGTGCTGTTGCAAATCTTCTGCCAACCTATGCACCCACATTTTAGTATTTCTGAGAAAAGAAGATCCATTTTTCTTCCCTTCTGCACTCAGATGATGTATAAATAAGGTAAAATACATTTAACTGATTTCATCTCAGCTGCAGATTTCAATATCTGTTTAACAAACTCTTTTACTAAATTTCCTGAGATAATTTTTTGGGTTGAGAGACTTTCTTAAAGAATAGGAAATGGGCAGTTCTTCCATGTAGCCTCCTCATTTGTAATTTTACACACACACACACACGTTCAGAGAGAGAGAGACAGAGACAGAGAAACAGAGATGAAAAGCTATTTTTACGTTTAATATACACAATATGAACTACCATACAGCCACACAATCAGCAAGGGATGGTCTGTTTTCCATTTCATGGGCTCTGTGCAATAATTTAATTTTTATCCTCTTTTATTCTGCAGTCCTGCCTCTGTTTAGAAGCATTTCATAGCCTGAATATTGCCTATTCAGAAAAAATAAATCAGAAGTCTGGTGGCCTCTTTTCAGGCTAACAGATTTTATTTAAATTTATTTAAATAAATTTAAGTGATTCATATCATGAATGTGCCATGATTACAGGACTCTTTTGGTGTTGACTGAAAAAAATAAAGCCAATTCAGAAAAAAAGTTATTTTAATCTAAATGGTAATTTAGGTTTAGGAAATGATAGGCTAGTTGTTTGGAGAACTTTATAGAAAGGAATAAATTACTAGTTCTCCAAGGGAATAATGAAATGTTACACTTCACAGTCCACGAATAAGTTCCAAAGGAACATCCCTTTACATAAGAACTCTTTTCTAGTATAAAATATTCCTTCCATCAATAGAATATAGTTGAAGATCACACTATTTTGAACAATTTTGGCTTCAACAAAATGATTGGCTTCAACTCTCAACAATGCCCATATCCTCAATTATTATCTCTAAATGTGCTGTTAATCTAGACTCCAGCTGTGTGGACATAAAAATGGCGCACTGTAATACTATAACATAAAAAATGGTGGCATGGAGTGGAATAACTTAATTTCACCCTACAGCTTTCACATTTCCGTTAAGATCTTTTGCTATTCTATGAAGAAAATACCTACAAGCATTTGTGATATGGCAGCATTTCCAATAACTGCCAATTTTTAATAAATCCATTTAGCCTTGCTATTCCTCTTCTCACGTTGAACATGAGGGAATAACAAAGGAGTAACACAGCCTTTTAGAGACCTGTGTTTGTGTGTGGGTTTGATTCTTTCCCTCTCTCTAATTCTCCCTCTTTCTTCCTAAGATTTCTTTTATGCGTACTGTCTTTTCAGAGGAGTAAGCAGTGTTGTCCGCAGATGCATTCATAAAGTCACTCGACAAGAATACGCTGTTAAAATTATAGACATCACAGCTGGAAATCTCTCTCCACAAGAAGTTCAGGAGCTGAGAGAAGCCACTCTAAAAGAAATCGATATCCTCCAGAAAGTGTCTGGACATCCTAACATTAGTAAGTTAGATTTTGCTTCCAGATCATCCTAATTATACCATATCAATAAACCAGTGAAGACAAACACAATGGAATTACTATTGGCTGGGTTTGCATGGCATGCATAACCACCTCCTTCTTGCAAACGGTGATTATGTGCTATGTAGAATATAGAACATATGTTCCATTGGCTGGAAGGAACCTTTGAGATCTTCTATTCCAGGGGTAGACAACCTTGGCTCTTTTATGACTCGTGGACTTCAACTCCCAGAATTCCTGAGCCAGCCATGCTGAGGGGAAGGAAGAGGTTTCCAAGCTGAGCCATGCTGGCTCAGGAATTCTGGGAGTTGAAGTCCACGAGTCATAAAAGAGCCAAGGTGGCCTAGCCCTGTTCTAGTCCAACCCCTGCTCAAGCAGGAGACTGTCAGAATTGCCACTTCTCTATCAGTCTGCCATGAACCCTGGGGAGAGGCTGGAAGGGAGAGCGAAGGCATGGAGGGAAAGTGAAACTGAACTGTGAGAACAGCTCTCTGTGAGAACCAATGACGTTTCCAAGGTCGTTTTCCTGGGAGCAGAATGCCAACACGTAGAGTGACTGTTTCCAAAACATCTCTTTTAAAATTGATTGGACAATGAGAGACAAACAATAGGAAAGGACTTATTTCATTCCGGACAAATGGCTCTCCAATCTCTTCTTGAAAACCTCCAGTGATGAAACACCTACAGCTTCTGGAAACAAGACATTTCACTGATCAATTGTTCTGTCAGGGAATTTCTCCTTAGTTTTTTGTTAGTCTGCCCTTGATAAGTTTCCATCCATTACTTCTTGTCCTG